GCAAAGGAGGACTCGATCCACGACGCTATAGAGCACAATCGCGCCATGTCATATCGCAATTCAGCACGCTGCAGCACAGCACAGCCCTCGGCAGGGTACATCAAGATCGATACACTCAGCATTGCATTTGCCCGTCACCCAATCAGGTGTCTTTGAAAATGCTGCCATGTGTTACAGTTCTATATTCCTTTCCGGGTTCGTGGGTCGATCATGTTTCACATCGGGGTTATGTTATCACAGCATTGTTTTTGTTCTTCAAACATGTTTGGGTTCTAAGCACATTTCGTGGTAGGACTACAGGAATGCCGGGACGGTCGGTCCCTGCTCAAAAGACTGACCTTTCGCCGGAGTGACCTTTGGTGTGGGCACAGGTGGGCCCTCAGATTGCTGAAGACGAAGCGATAGCAGCGGCTTGCGCGCCCAGGTTTGTCTTCCCGCGGCCCCCAAAAAGCCGCGCACCAAGGGTCACTCTGACCCAGGGTCACTCTTCCGTGTAGCCGACATCAGACAGTCATCCAAGCGGCCTCAGGCAGCCCCGAGTCAGCCCCGGTACGGCCCCCTTGGGGTCTCGCACTGCTCAAGAAGGCTTCTGGACGCCTTGGGAGCTCAGGCTCAAGACAGCCCTACAGGGCCCCATGAGACCGGTCGTGGGTGCGCCAGAGAGGTCAGGAACCTTCAGAAACCAGAGGGGGGATCCATGATTTGTGCTTTCGCGGCGTGTCGCTTCCGATGGGCTTCTCCGGTTTCCAAAACGCCTCCAAGTGGCCCCCTGGAGGCCTAAGACCCAAGACGCCCCCAAATTGCCTCAAGCCGCTGTTGGCTCAAGTCGCGATTGCAGTGCAGTCTCTCGAGCCACAAGTTTTGCCAGCATCAACCAGCGCGCGCGAGGCAATGGCACCAACGACATCAAGTGACACCAACGCCCAATCGCGCTACAGCGGCGCCCTATTTCTCCTAGCTGCAGCTTATGTGCTCTGCGTCATAGCCGGCGCTGCCGGAGCTTACACTTGCGTCAACGACCAGGACTCCATCGAAGAGTTTGTTTATTGGTTGATGGAGGTTGCTTCCTACTCGCCTGTTGGCTTGATGGTGGCTTGGGTCTTGGCCAATCAGCGCCGCTTCAATTTCGATCTGCCCCTTCACAGGTGGACTTGGCGATGTGGCATCACAAGCGCCCTAGTGGCGGGAACAGCTCCGTTTTTCCCGTGGCTCTTCTTGTGCCACCCTGGCTACCCCGCCCAAGTCGCACACACTGTCCACGGTAATGGGTACTTGTTCGGCAAAGTCGTGTCTTGGTTTCTCGTGGAGCATAAGCTCAGGGTACTCGGGAGTAAGCGGCTCGCGAATCTTACTCGAGTCTACGCGATCTGCAACGGAGTGCTTTGCCTTCCTATCCCACTCATACTCTTCATGCCCGAGACGCTCTCTTTATCGCCAGCGCAGAGCGACTTCCTCATGATGGCCATTTGGTACGGAACCATGGTCACGGGCGGCATGGCTTTCGGCATCACTTTCGGTTTGCTGGCGTTGCGCGCCGCGCGCGGGCTTCGCTCTTCCAACAAGGCCAAGAAGAATGCAGCAAAGTGAGTCGCTTTAACAGCAGTTGTTTTCCTGGGCTCGTTCGCTAGCTTCGGCGTAAGCTTTTACTCGGTCTGGGCGTGGGGCCCGGGCCCCGGCTGGGTGGCGGCCTTTCTCGTCGACACCACGCTCGATTGCATCAGCGTGGTGGTCTTCTCAATTCTCGTCGGGCCACCTGGGCTCCGGCGCTTGGCGCGCGAAGCGTTTTCGGCAATTAACCTTTACGACGACGACCACCTGCAGTCGTTCTACGAAGGTTTCTTGAAGCATCTCGATGATGCGCAGATCAAATGGGTGCGGTGCGGCTTCTTGCGCCAGCTTGCCCAAAGTGGACGGTTGCTAATGCGCTGTCAGGACGTCCCGGCTTCCGAGACAATCGTTGGCAGTGTTGGTTTTCCACGTTCTAGGACCGATCGGAAGGGCCGATTCGTGTGCTCCCATCCTTGGCTCTCCAAGTGGCATCCAGACCCCGCTGGCGTGAAACTGCGCACACTTGCTGCACAGCTAGACAAGCTGAGCGCCTGCGACGACGATGCCGTCTTCATGGACTTCATCAGCATACCGCAACACGACTTCCAGAACCCCGAATTGCGATTGTTGGATAGCCAAGGTAGCTGGCCCATGCCAGGCACACACGCAGCCGTTCGCACTCTCGAAGAGGAAACCGTGTTCAGGAAGTCTCGCGGGTCGTTCGAGGTGATGTACAGCGTTAGCAGCACGCCCGTGATAGTCTTGCCAATGAATGAGTGTCTGGATGAAGGCTCGTCGCCTTATATCAACCGTGGTTGGTGCTAGTTTCGAGAACATCATCAACGCCAACACCTTGCAGTCCGTTCGAAAGTTGTGCGACGACGTCAATGCAGAGGAAGGCGACACAGTTCAGGGGTTCCGCGTAGCTTTTCCCGGAAAGGGCGCCTGCCCAGGGTTCTTTTTTAGCCGTTTGCCCCCGGAATCGACGGGAAGAGGGCCGGCGGAATTATTCAACGAAAAATTACATGCGGGAAGAGGGCCGGCGGAATTATTTTTGAGGATGTCTCGAGCGAAACGCTTGTTTTTCAGAATTTGTTGAGGATGTCTCGAGCGAACCGCTGGTTTTGCAGAGTTGAGGGATGTGATTATTTTTGAGGATGTCTCGAGCGAAACGCTTGTTTTTCAGAATTTGCTGAGGATGTCTCGAGCGAAACGCTGGTTTTGCAGAGTTGAGGGGTGTCTCGAGCGAAACGCTTGTTTTTCACAATTTGTTGAGGATGTCTCGAGCGAAACGCTGGTTTTGCAGAGTTGGGATATCTAACATGGCGTCGGGCCCAACGCCGAATTATGAGGAAACGCACATGGGACCGAAAAACGCTACCCGAACACATGTCCTAATACAGAAACGTTATGGTTTCTGGCTCTGAACAGGGGGTTGCGCTTTGGGGGCCTCTCCAGGGAAGACGTCGCGAGGATGTCTCGAGCGGGAGCGCGATTTCAGCGTATCCAGGTCACGCAGGGGGGTATCTAACATGGCTGTCCCGAGCTGGAACCACGTGTGTTTTCATGCTCAGGCCACCCAGGGAGATCTCTAACATGGTTGTCCCGAGCTGGAATCGCGTGTGTTTTCATGCTCAGGCCACCCAGGGGGATCTCTAACATGGTTGTCCCGAGCTGGAACCGCATGTTTTTTATGTGTCCAGGCCACCCAGGGGGTGTCTAACATGGTTGTCCCGAGCTGGAACCGCGTGTTTTTTTATGTGTCCAGGCCACCAACACGACGGTTGTCCCCAGCACGTTCTGTAGCGCGTCCGCTTGGCACGTCCCGCGGTGCGTCCCCTTGGCGCGTGCCCTGGCACGTCGCCTGGCGCGTCCCTTGGGATGTTCCGCGGCGCGTCTTCCTGGCATGTTCCCTTGTCAATTCTGTGCTCAGGCAGCTCGAGCTTAAGATCCAGATTAGTTCGGTCAGGACTCGGATGCAACGGAGGACTCGATCCACAACACTATAGAGCACAATCGCGCCATGACACATCGCAGGTCAGCACGGCGCAGCACAGCACAGCCCTCGGCACGGTACATCAAGATCGATACGTTCACTCAGCATTGCAATTTGGCACGTCGCGCGGCGCGTCCCTTGGCACGTCCCGTGGCAGGTCCATTGTCACGTTCCGCAGCGCGTCCCCTTGGCACGTCCCGCGGTGCGGCCCCATGGCACGTCCCTTGGCACGTCGTCTGGCGCGTCCTTTGGAACTTTCCGCGGCGTGTCTTCCTAGCATGCCCCCCCCTGTGAATTAGCTCTGGGGCAGCTACTGTGTGCTCAGGCAGCTCGAGCTTAAGATCCAGATCAGTTCGGTCAGGACTCGGATGCAGCGTCCCCTTGGCACGTCCCGCGGTGCGTCCCCTTGGCGCGTGCCCTGGCACGTCGCCTGGCGCGTCCCTTGGGATGTTCCGCGGCGCGTCCTCCTGGCATGTTCCCGTGTCAATCAGCTCTGGGGCAGTTACTAGTTATGTGTTCAGGCAGCTCGAGCTTACGCTCCAGATCAGTTCGGTGAGGACTCGGATGCCAGGGAGGAGTCGATCCACAACGCTATATAGCACAATCGTGGAATGGCACATCGCACTTCAGCACAGCGCAGCACAGCACAGCCCTCGGCACGGTACATCAAGATCGATACACTCAGCATTGCAACCTGGCACATTCCTTGGCATTTTCCGTGGCGCGTCCCGTGGCGAGTCCCCCTGGCACGTCGCGCGGCGCATCCCCTGGCACGTCCCTCGGCACGCCCATTGGCACGTTCCGTAGCGCGTCCCCTTGGCACGTCCCGCGGTGCGTCCCCATGGCTCGTCCCCTGGCACATCGCCTGGCGCGTCCCTTGGGACGTTCCGCGGCGCCTCCTCCTGGCATGTTCCCGTGTCAATCAGCTCTGGGGCAGTTACTAGTTATGTGTTCAGGCAGCTCGAGCTTAAGATCCAAATCAGTTCGGTCAGGACTCGGATGCAAAGGAGGAGTCGATCCACAACGCTACAGAGCACAATCGTGGCATGGCACATCGCAATTCAGCACAGTACTGCACAGCACAGCCCTCGGCACGGTACATCAAGATCGATACACTAAGCATTACATTTGCCCGTCGCCCAACCAGGAATCTTCGAAACGTTGCCATGTCTTACATTTCGATATTCCTTTCCGGGTTCGTGGGTCGATCATGTTTTTGGCTTCTCGTGTTTTCGAGCTTCCAATGGTCCAAGAGCGCCGAAGAGGCTCCCAAGACCGCCCCAAGACCACCCAAGAGACCCTCAGGACAGCCCCAAGACGAGCCAAGAAGGCTCCAAGACTGCCCTAGACTACCCCAGAACAGACCCAAAATGGGCCCAAGAGCGGGAGCAGGAGGCTTCCAGCGACCGAGAGGCCTCCCGGACTCCCCAGAGGCCCCCAACACACCCCCGATCTTTGAGAGGCCCCAAAAAGACCCCGACGAGGCTCCAAGAACAGCCCAAGAGAGCTGCGAGAGCCGTCCCCAACCGTTGATTTCCCATGGTTTTTCCTAATGTTTTCCGTAGCCATTTTGGCTCAAGATAAAAGCTGCAATCAAGACCCCAGTCCTCGTACGCCGAAGGCCCCGCGAGGGCGATGGGCTGTGCACTGGCTACGCAAAGCGCGCGCGTACCACATTCTGTAGCGAGATTATCAACCAATTGCGTACCGCCGACCACCCCCGCTGGCCTTGACGGGCATCGGTACAGGATCGCCCTCGTCGCACACGACAACATGAAGCTGCTGATGCGCAAGTTCATCCAGGTGCACTTCTCGATGCTCAACGCCTTCGAATTCACTGGCACGGGAACAACGTGTTCTATTATCATGGCCGAGGGTCTCGCGTGCTTCAAGCAGCTCGCCAGTGGCCCACTTGGTGGAGATCAGCAGCTTGGGGCGTTGGTCACGGAAGGTACAGTGCACGCAGTTTTCTTCTTCCGTGACCCCTTAGCCGCGCACGTTCATGACGCTGGCATCCAGGCACTCGGCCGCATATGCGATTGCCACCAGTGCTACTTCGCGACAAACTACCGCACAGCCGCCGCCGTCCTGAAGACGATGTACGACAATGCAGAGGAGTCGAAAAGCACGGGACGCAGAGTGTCTGTCGACTTGCCTCGCGACACTGGCAGCCTTTCGGAGTTCGTGCAGCACACTTACCTCGAGACTCGCAATAGCTACCGTACCTGGACGTAGTTTTTCATATTGAGTATTGGCAGTCGTGGCAAACTGGCCGCACTTTGTCCTTGAGCTTGCGCAGCACACTTTTTATAATATTTTTTCCCGAAAAGGGCATAGGCCCAGAGTTCTCTTTTAGTAGGTTTACCCCCGGTTTTGACGGCTGTAGGGCCGGCGAATTTCTTTTGCGATAAATAACGAGATCGCGTAGGGCAGGCGAGTTAAAATTTGAGGATGTCTCGTGCGAAACGCTTGTTTTCAACATTTGTTGAGGACGTCTCGAGCGAAACGCTTGTTTTGAGTTATAGATTGTCCTCTCCTGGGGACCTGAATTTTGAGGATCTCTCAAGTGGATTGCTTGTTTTCACGTACCCAGGTCTTGAGGATCTCTCGAGCGAGACGCTTGGTTTCACGCCTCCAGGTGGCCCAGACAGATGTCTAGCATGAGGATTTGTTGAGGATGTCTCGAACCAGACGGATGTCTAGCATGAGCATTTGTTGAGGATGTCTCGAGCGAGACGCTTGTTTGCACGTGTCCAGGTTGCCCAGGCGGATGTCTAGCATGAGGATGTGCTGACAACGTCTTGAGCGAAACGCGTGTTTTCACGTGTCCAGGTCGCCCAGGCACAGCACAGCCCTCGGCACGGTACATCAATATCGATACCCTTAGCATTGCAGCCTGGCATGTTGCCTGGCACGTTCCGCGGAGCGTCCCGTGGCGAGTCCCCCTGGCACGTCGCGCGGTGCACGTCCATGGGCACGTTCCGTAGCGCGTCCCCTTGGCACGTCCCGCGGTGCATGCCCATGGCACGTCCCTTGGCACGTCGTCTGGCGCGTCCCTTGGGACGTTCTGCGGCGCGTCCTCTTGGCATGCTCCCTCTGTCGATTACTTCTGGGGCAGCTACCATCTGCTCAGGCAGCTCGAGCTTACGATCCAGATCAGTTCGGTGAGGACTCGGATGCCAGGGAGGACTCGATCCACAACGCTATATAGAGCACAGCCGTCGGCACGGTACATCAAGATCGCCACACTCAACTATGCACCTTGGCACGTTCTTTGGCGCGTTCCGTGGCGAGTCCACCTGGCACGTCGCGCGGAGCGTCCCCTGGCACGTCCCTCGGCACGCCCATTGGCACGTTCCGTAGCGCGTCCCCTTGGCACGTCCCGCGGTGCGTCCCCATGGCTCGTCCCCTGGCACGTCGCCTGGCGCGTCCCTTGGGACGTTCCGCGGCGCCTCCTCCTGGCATGTTCCCTCTGTCGATTAGTTCTGGGGCAGCTACCATCTGCTCAGGCAGCTCGAGCTTACGCTCCAGATCAGTTCGGTGAGGACTCGGATGCCAGGGAGGACTCGATCCACAACGCTATATAGAGCACAATCGTGGCATGGCACATCGCAGTTCAGCACGGCGTAGCACAGCACAGCCCTCGTCACAGTACATCATCATCGATACATTCAGCACTGCATGTGCCCGTCGCCCAATCAGGTGTCTTTGAAATGTTGCAATGGCTTACATTTCTATATTCCTTTCCGGGTTCGTGGGTCGATCATGTTTCAAGCAAGGTGTTCACGGAGGGCGGGGATAGGGATTTTGTCATGAGTTTGTTCGAGAACACCTTGGCGCGTAAGGTGATCTAAATCGGATTACGATGTATAGGCTTACGCCATATCCGCCGACCCCTGGATCGTCTTGGGGATGTCGTGTTGCTGTCCTGGGGCGTACTTGTGCTGTCTGGTTTCTTTGGGTGGGCGGGCTCGAGGCTCTTCGGATCCACCCCCGAGCGAGTCCGGGGGCATGTGGGGCCGTTCACGGGACGAATCTTACACGTTTGGAGGCCGGATGCGGGTTGCATCACATGTGTCCAGACACGCGACAAGGCAGTGATCCGTGGCGGTGGTGATGGTGATCCGTGGTGGTGGTGATGGTGATGGCGGTGGTCATGGTGCGGGTGATGGCGATGATGATGCTGGTGGTGATGTTGTTGATGATGAGACGCGGAGATGGTGACATGGTACCAAACAGGAGAAAGCGGAGGAGGAGGAGTAAGAGGGGGAGGATGGGGGAGAGGCGGAGGAGGGTCCTCGGAGGAGGAGGAGAAGGAGGAGTGACGATTTGGGGAACAATTTCTGTCAACACCCGCGCCCATAGACGGCATGCGGCGGTCCAAAAACTGGACGAGTCGTTGTCGAATGGGACGCGGCGCATCCCGCCACCTTGCGCGGTATACAGGTAGGCGGCCACACGGATGGTGAAGAAGATCTCGTGCGAGGCCTGACGGGGTCGTCTTGCAGGTAGTTTTGGGCCTCTTGGGGACTTCCTCGTGGCTTCCTGGAGGTTTCGGAGATTTTCTAGGAGGTCCCGCAGGCAATTTTGGGGCGTTCTTGGAGCAGGCTGGGAGCCGAAGGCTCGAAAAGGTGCCCTGTTGACTCCGTGTTGGAGCCGTTTGGGGGCCCTCATGGGCTGTCTTGGGGGCTTCGTGGGTCGTCGTTGGACCCTCACCGATTCTGCTTTGGGGCCCCTTTGGCCGTCTGGGAGCGATGTTGAAGGTGTCTTTGCCTGTTGTGGACGCTGTGATTGCCGAGTAGGAGAGCGCGCGGAGTAATGGGTGGTTTTCGAAGGAAATGGGCAGATTTTCCCGGAAAGGGCGTAGGCCCAGGGTTCTTTTTTAGAGGTTTACCCCCGGACCTGACTTGAGGTGGGCCGGCGGAATTCTTCCCTGAAAAATATCGAGGTCGAGGTGGGCCGGCTGAATTCATTGGGGGGATGTCTCGAGCGAAGCGTTTTTTTTTTTTTTTGTTCTTTTGTTATATTTTTATTATTACTATTTTAAGTTATTTATTATTATTATTACTATTATTATTAGTATTATTATTATTATTATATACATATATATATTTATCATGTTATTTTCTAAAAAGGAAGATCTCGAGCGAAGCGCTGGTTTTGCAGAGTTGGGGATGTCTCGACCGAAACGTTTGTTTTCCGAATTTGTTGAGGATTTCTGGAGCGACGCGCTGGCTTTGCAGCGACGCGGAAAAGCGCCCCGCGCGCAGGAATTCCGAGGATGTCTCGCGCGTGCCGCGTCCCGCGCGCAGGAATTTCGAGGATGTCTCGACTAAATCGTTCGTTGTTCTATGATTCCTTTGAATTTTGGCAGGCTGTATCGAGCGTTTTTTTTTTTTTTTTTTTTTTTTTTTTTTTTTTTTTTTTTTTTTTTTTTTTTTTTTTTTTTTTTTTTTTTTTTTTTTTTTTTTTTTTTTGTTGTTGTTGTTGTTTTATCTCTCTCCTTGTTTTCATAATTGGTTGAGGATGTTTCGAGCGAGCCGCTGGTTTTGCATTTTTTCCGTAATTTGTTGAGGATGTTTCGAGCGAAACACTGGTTTTGCAAAATTGGGGGAAGTCTCGAGCGGGGGCCTCGTGGGGAGCCAAAATTCAGAGGATGTCTCAGGCAAAATGCTTGTTTTCACGTCCCGCTGGCAGGAATCCCGGGGATGTCTCCAGGGGGAGCTCTGCCCACCCATCGCCCTTGCGGGACGGGCGCTCTGACTTGTACCGAACCCTGAGCAGCCGTTAGCTGCGTCCCTGGATTTAGGGCCCGGGCTTCGGCCCTCCCCGTGTCTTTTTCCAGACGCCAGGTGCCCCTGGTGGGCCCCTCCGCGTGGATGGCTGGTGATGTCTGTCCCCGCTGACCCCCCACGGAGGTCCCACTCGGGCTGTGCGGCCGTCGGGATTTCGTGTGTTCCCGCCTCACAACGGGGGATATCGTCCCCTGACGCGGCTGCCCCCTGGTGCCTTCCTCAGCCACACTGGCGATGTTCATCCCTGCCAGTGGCTACTGCCACACTCAGTGCGGCGCCTCAGCACGCATGACAGGCGTGTGACATGGGCCGGGCCCACAGGGCTCTCCACAGGGCCGGCCCTTGTCCGTGGTCGGGAATGATGGGCCCCGGGAGTCTCGCGGTCGCCTCGGAGTGGTTCAGCCTTCCGTCTCACGCAGAGCTCCATCCAGGCTCCGTCCCAGCCGTTCAGGCAGGTCTACGCCGTCATCTCGGTTCTTGCTCAGCTCACCTGGCTGGTATACGCCGTTGGCACGGTCTTGGCACGTGGCGCCCCGCTGGAAACTCGACCATGGTTTACCTCGCCTTCGTGGCCACCAAGCGTGAGAGGGGTGTGGGCAGGAAACTCACCTACGTTCTCGCCTCCACCGAGTGGTCCAACGCCGCAGGGCGTACACCGAATTCCCTGGCATTTTGCTCTGGGCTGCACGATGCTCGGGCTTCCCTGGGTGCCCGTCAGCCAGTCAACCCCACCTTGCGCCCCAGCGGCCGCCTTGTGAGCTGGCCCGGCCGGCCTGTTCTGCGCCCTGCAGCTAATTAGGATTGTTCGCAGCCCCGGACAACTTCAATCGCCGCCTGCGCTCTTCGCTCGCGGCCGCGACCAAAAATGTATCCCCACCAGCCCATCCATAATTGATTGCCAGTTTTCTTGAGGCCTCTTGGAGGCTATCTTGAGCCACGCTCGGCTAGAGGCTGTCGGAGGCTATCTTGAGCCATGCTCGGCTATCTTGGGCCCGTTTGAGGCAGCCTTGAGGCCTCTTGGAGGTCTGTCGGAGGCTATCTTGAGCCATGCTTGGCTATCTTCGGCCATTTTGAAAACCATATATACATATAGCGGGGGACTGGGTCCGGGGGCCAGGGGCCAGAGCCCCGACCACAAATGTGGGGCCCGGCGCCCAGGGAGCCCTGCTGGAGCGCCAGGGGCCGTCCAAGATCGCCCGAAGATGGCTTCGGAACGCTCGAAAATGCGCTCCGACGGCTCTGGATGCCTTTCAAGACGACTCCCATGACGCCAAGAAGGCCCCCGAAGGCCCCGAAGACGCCCCCCCGACAAAGCCCCAATGAGCAAACATCGTCGATTTCCTATAGGACTGTTGTTTTTGGCGTGTTCGCCTTTCGGGCTTCCACTGCGTCCAAGACGGCCCAAGAGGCACCCAAACCGGTCGAGGATGCCCCCAGGAGGGCCCACGAGGGGGCCTAGACGGTCCCCGAGGCGCCCAAACCGCCCAAGAACGCCCCGAGTCGGCGCCCAAGACGGGGACGAGGAACCGAAGATTCGAGCGTTTTGACCCAAGAGGCCCCCAGGAGACCCCAAGAGGCTCCAAGAAACGCCCAAGACGCCCCAAGAGGCCCCCGCGAGACCCGAAAAAACACCCAAAACAGGCCCCGCAACAGCTCCCCAATGGGCTCCCCAAAACGGC